TATGATTGACAATGACAGTTAGCACAACACTCATTATATGGTTAGAAATTGACAATTTTTTAAGAGTTCTAATATCTTCATTGTAATATCTTATTTAAAATTTCAAAATGTGATAATTTTATACAAATATTTTTAGTCCTAAGTAAGAATGTTTGATTTGTAAATTTAATCGACTTAGATGATAGAACAGCGACATTTTGGCAACTAGAAGAAGTTTATATAAAAAGGCGTGCCAGCTATACTTTGAGAATAATGAAACGAAAATGGACTTGTGGATGCATTTCCATTCAAAAATAAATCATATCATATCACTATAAAATATATTTTATCATAAAAACATCGCCTTAGAACTAATGTCGAATTACAAAAGAATATTTAAATTAAATCATATGGAAAAGGTCTAGGTAGACGAAATTACTAGCAATACCTACTATTAATATTATATACCATTCGCAGTTTTTAAAGAAATTAACCACACAACTAAACTGTGAGTAGTATTTGACGCTTTTTATAAGACTGACTACGGCACAAGTCTAAATGATATTTTGCACAAGGGTCCGAATATATAAGAAAAACTAATAGAAATAATAGTTGGATTTTGATCGCATCAATATGTTTTTTGTTCTGATATTGAAAAATGTATAGACAAATTTGCTGTTTGAAAATCAAAGAGACTTTTAACGTATTTTATGATGCGAAAACCCGGAACAATCGGCGCAAATAATTCGACTTAAAACAGTCATTTATCGTCTTCTTATTTAGCAACAAGGTATTAAAGGAAACTAGCCGAATAAAAAGCTGAGCTGAGAAGTAGGTCAGATAAAGATCAAGTTAAGAGATGAGTTAATATCAGTCATAAAGAGCGCTGGTTTCGAGTAAAGACAATGGTATAGCAATGAACAATTATTGGTAAAAGAATCACCTTTAAACATTTAAAGAAAGTAATGACAATTCACTGGAGCCTGATCGAATTATTATTACTAAAATATTGGAATCACAAAAACGATTGTTACCGATATAAGATAAAATCAATGGAAATGTCTGGTTGTTTTGCAAAGAAAAGAATCGGAAATATTATCACTATTCAACCTGCTCGGATCAATTGTTCCATTCGTTTTAAGATGATTATGCAACAGTTATGACTGCAAATATTGAACCGAGATGACATTTTACTTATTCAATTACAGCAAGATTGGTTGAAAGTACGTGTAGAACTAGAGCATATTAACGATATAAAAATTAGTCGTTTATTACTAGGCGTCCAAAAAAATGAAGACACTAGAATTATACGCGTTTTCTTACGCAATTATGAAAGCCTATGGTGATTGTATATACACACGCGCTACATATATTTATGGTTAAGTAGTAATAAATTTATTGTGTGCGAAATCAAGAATTATCAGGTAATTATTTTCCTTGACTTGAACTGTCAGCTACGTTTTTGACCGCTCATCTAATGTCGAAATTTGCATAAAAATTATAGTTGTCTTTAATGAATATTTTTATTGGACAGATTCGATACTGGTATTAAATTGTTTTTTATCTCCATTGTCTGACTGACACTTTTTTTTGGCAACAGAGTAAGTGAAATACGTCTATTTCACAATTGAGGTATGTTGCTTTCAAATTTACGAAGAAACTAAGACTATTTTTATAGAATTAGAAGGGGACTTGACAGCAATGACTTAATGCTTTACGAAGATTCTGTGATAGACGTGGTTATTGTACGGACGTGTATTCAGATAATGGGAAAAACTTTGTAGCTGTTAATCGAAAATTTCAAGAAGTCCATGAATTATTAGCTAAACCAGAAATAAAAAACGAATTAATTAATAAAGAAATTCAATGCCACTTCATTCCGTCCCGTAATCCTCGCTTTGTTGAATTATGGGAGGCGTTCGTTAAATCTATTAAGGTATATTTTCTCAATTGGTAATGCTTTGTTTAATTATGAAAAGTTATCTAAAATACTTCTTTGAGTAAAAGCCATATTAAATTCGCGACATTTGACACCTCTATCCAGAGATCTAAGTGATTTATCACATTTTGGTAGGGACTTGCTATCCGCGTTTCCTAAACGGGATGTAATAAACGCTATGGAAAATAGACTAACTCGCTGTGCTGTACAAATTACACAAAAAATATGGATTCGGCGAAATAGAAGAATGTAAAACTAATTATTTTTTTTTTAATTTGATAAAATCTAACTTAAATCTGAATAAGACGCAATTTGTATATTTTATAGTTTTTCAATTATATTTATAGTTTTATGACAATTACTGATGAATAATAAAGTATAATTAATACTTCTATTAAAAAAATGAATATTATATTTATAATCGAAACATTTAAATACTCCACACCGCATAATTTTTTTTAATATCGTTCATGTAGTAAGGGTGGCTTTAATTTTTGTTTTNTATATTTATAGTTTTATGACAATTATTGATGAATAATAAAGTATAATTAATACTTCTATTAAAAAAATGAATATTATATTTATAATCGAAACATTTAAATATTCCACACCGCATAATTTTTTTTAATATCGTTCATGTAGTAAGGGTGGCTTTAATTTTTGTTTTTCATTTTGAAGGAACAATCCTTCCAAAAAATACCTTACTCACAAGAGTAAAAAGAAAAGTGAATATTTTCTTGGATTTATTATATTATTTTACAATACGTACTATGGCTCTTATGGCCATAGTTGTAAGAAATACTTTTAAAAAGTATTTTAAATAATATTCAAATATTTAAAAAAAAATGTATTTAAAATACTATTTGAATACTTTTCATACAAAAGTATTTGAGTAATACTCAATTACTTTACAAAAGTATTTCAAATACTAAGAATACAATTAAAAAATAATAATAATGTTTTTATTTTAACTAAGAGCAAAAGGTTCCACCTAAATAATTACCAAGAGGGTAATTTGAGTCAAATATTGAGTACTCTTAAATTAAGAGAACTCATTTATTATTTTCGATATTTTTTGTTAGAGGTAAATAAAATTAATTATTGTAGACTAATCAGTGAAAAAAATAAATATTAGTACATGTGTAAAAACCTGTAAAGTATGTCTTATTGACAATAGAGTAAATCATTTGAACCTGCAATAGGCTATTGTAGGTTCAACTGATGTATTAAAAATAGATGTATACATAATAGCATTTAGATAAGCACAATAATTATGTTATACTATAATGTAACATATAAAATAACAGAGAATTGTTCTCAATTTTCATTTTGACTGAGTTTAATTTGCTAGCTGTGTTACGGTTAGCAAATTAGAAAAAAAAAGTATATTAATAGTACTGAATATTAAACAGTATTAAATACTAAATAATTGTATTTAAAATACTACTCAGATACTTTTTATTAAATGTATTTAAAAATACTATTCAATACCAATGAAAGTATTTGAATACTTTTATTCAAATACATTTACTCAAATGCTTTACGCCTTTGCCTATGGCCACCCCCTCCGTAAAAGCCGCCACTGGTCTGTATAAGGGATACATTAAAAAAAATAATTAACAACTAATAAATCAAAACTTAAATCTAATAAAAATAATTATTTCTACATAATTGTTATTTTAAGTGAAATCTGGTGATTAACGTTAACAAAATCATCTTGTATTGCAGATATTTTGTTTTTTTATAGTTTTGTTTCGGATATTTTGGATGTAGTTATTTTTAACTTGATTCATTTTACCCAATAAATGTTTTTCATACAAAATAATAGCTTATACGTTTTTGTTCTAATTTTATTTATGCTTTTCTTTAATATTAAAATATGTTTAACATATAAAATACTCTTAAGTTGAGGAAAACGTCTCATTTTTTTATTTTTACAGAAAAGACTTATACAACTTTATGAAATTTTTGAGTTTAAAATTTACAATTTTGTTAGTACAATTGTTACAATTTATTGGAAAGTATCAATTATACTCACAATTGATGCCTCGTTTTTTTGTACATTATTCATTCATTCAGCTTTATATTTAAGGCGCAACTTTTTATAAATCGTTGATGTTTATTTTTTGTAGCTTGAGCTACAACGTTATGTGCTGACTCGGGTTACTCATTAATATTTAAAAAGATTAAAAATTCAGCCTTTAGAGATTCAAAAGATAAAAAGGCACATCTTTTTTGAAAAAAATCGTACTTTTAAATTTACAGCGATTGTTTAAATATCACGTTCACAGTATAAAATAAGTTAAGGCAATCAAGAGACACTAGCTTATAAAAGTATTTAAAGGACGATTTTCACAAGTTCCGCAAATTAAAATTAATAATTCAGTAAGAGTATGTGGAATGGGTAACTAGTAAGTTTTTCTTATTAATTTACATGTAAATAAAATATCGTAAAAAATTCAATGACTTTTTAGTTTTTAATACTATATTTTCTAGAAAAAAATGATAAAATTTATTTTTTAAGTGAACATGTATGTTTAAACAAGTCAATATTTAAAATATTCGTTGGAGTAAATAATTTCTGACCGTTTCGTCCTAAGAATAGTTAGATTTCAAATAATTTTGGTAAAATATTTATGTAAATCTTGGTCATTTTATGCCTAACTATTTGCCAACTCTTTTTAAGGTACTACCAAAAAACTATAGAGTTAAAAGCTGAGTTTTAATCACTCCAAATTATCTATTCTGAAAAAAATACGGTTAGAATAACCATATAAACGATTAATGTTGTGACAACTTTAATAAAGAAAGTTGAAATAACTGAATATTCGTTTAATCCAATCATTTATTTAGTTATGTCCTATATTTTTATTAAAGTTGTCATTATATTAACCGATCATTTTTTTCGTTTATATGTATTATTGAACACAAGCTTACCTATACCTATATAATAAGTATTAATATTTTGGATATATATGAAAGCAAATAAATAAATTATTATAGCAATACAACTGTAATACTTCTTATATATTATATTAAATTTGAAATATGATTTAATTATAAATATTACAATATTGTTTAAATGAATAATTTTTGACCGATAAATTGTAAATAAATTTTTGAAAACTATTCTATTCGAAAAGTAGTTTCCGTATTTCTAATTAAAGTACGTACAATTTTATAATTAAAATTATGAGTATTTGGAATCGAAATTAAAAGTATCTGAAAACATTATAATTCGTAATTAAGTTGATTGGTTAAGAGTGTGCTCTGGTTTACATCATGTTTGATTAAATTTACGTTCCTTGTCGTTGGATCACATATCTACGACTGCAAACACATTGAACTTTTAAGCGATATATTGAGTGTTCAGTAAGTAAGTAAACGGGTTTCTATTGTTCTCATTGTTTATAACAATTGACCTGTTCCTTAATTACTGCACACGCAGTATAGGTGTCCCACAAGATTTTGACATCTTGAATAACTTTTGGTCCAGTAAATATCTCACTAATATTTTAGATAAAATAATATTGATCCATAAAAATTTTTTTATAAAAAAGAGCAAAAACATGATTATTTATGAAAAACCCAGCACAGTGAGATCGTGGCATAGTTGGGTCCAGTATAAATGATATCTGACAGTGATTAAAATCAATATCATAAAAAACGCTTCAATGCAAATCTGTAGATAGTGTTTAATTAAAAAAAAAAAAATTGTTAAAATAGCATATTTTTGAATATAGTAGCCATTTCCGCATAGAAGATAGGTCGTCGGGAAAAATTTTTTTTTTCATTTTATAGTACATAAAATAAGCTTTAATTTGATATATGTTTGAAGGAAGCAGTATTTCCGGAACATTTTCAAAAATTAAGTTGAAAAAGTTAGTTTTTATAAAAAAGTTGCTATTTTAAATTCCCCCCAATGAGCAGGTTAAGTGTTAGATTTTCAAAAAAATGATATCAAATGAAAGGGAAATATCTAAGGAGTTAGTAAAAAAAAAAAAATATGTTAATTTGTCGATTTTTCAAAAAGTTATAGAAGTTTTAAGAAAAAAAACATCCCGATAAAAGGTAATTTTTATCGCAAACATTATATTTTTTTTTAATTTTCGACAGCCGTTTGCACATAGTAGATAAGATGTCGGGACAAATTTTTTTTTTCATTTGATAGTATATAACATAACCTTTGATTTGATATATGTTTAAAGGACGCAGTATTTCCGGAACATTTTCAAAAGTTCAGTTGAAAAAGATCTATGTTTTTTACAATATTTTAAGTTTTGAACGCCCCCTATATAAGGGGAAATTGTCCAATTTTAATAAAAAGTATGTCAAATGAAAGATGTACTTATAATGTATTTAGAAAAAAAAAATTTGTGCTGATATATACATTTTTCAAAAAGTTATAGCATTTTTAAGTTGAAAATTTAAAATCGAAAATTTTAACACAAAAATAGAGTTTTTTTAACTACGGCAGCCGTTTAAATGTGGTAAAAAAGAAAAAAAGTGTCGGGACAAATTTTTTTTTTGTAGTACATNGTCGGGACAAATTTTTTTTTTTCATTTAGTAGTACATAAAATAAGCTTTAATTTGATATATGTTTAAAGGACGCAGTATTTCCGGAACATTTTCAAAAATTAAGTTGAAAAAGTAAATTTTTGTAAAAAAGTTGCTATTTTAAATTCCCCCCAATGAGCAGGTTAAGTGATAGATTTAAAAAAAAATGATATCAAATGAAAGGTAAATATCTAAGGTTTTAGTATAAAAAAAAATTATGTTGATTTGTTGATTTTT